CGTACCGCCGTCGTACCGCCAGCCATCGACAGCCGTTCCTTGGTCGCCACCGCAAGAACAGACACCGCGGCGCCCTTCCATCGTGCCACCGTATGAAATGCTGCCGTACGAAGAGCCGTCTCCCAACGAGACACGGCATTTACAACATTATGAGCCGTTGAGGCGTCCACAGCTTCGTAAAACAGACGTCTGGCGCACCGTGGATAGACGTCCGCTTTGTTTTACCTGCGGAGGTGTCGGCCACATTTCTCGTCATTGCTGGCACCGCTTCGACAAGTTTCGACCTCTTCGGCAATGGTCTGACGATCGACGCCCCAACGACGACTACCCACCACGCCGGGACGCTGATTCTCAACGACCTTCCTTGTCTCGGTTCCATTTTGACAACCGCCGAGCCAACAATGACGACGGTGAGCCTAATTACCAGCCAGGTTTGGGACATCGACCACGTTCTCCGTCTCCGGCATATTCGCCTTCGTCGCGCCACCGCACTACAGCCGACGCCAGTGGAAGGAGGTCACCAAGTTCACGCCGGGGAAACTGAAGGCGGCGACCTCCGGGGGTGAGGTTGCAGGCCGCCAAGGCGACAAAAAAAGGCCCCCGTTACTCTTACCACAGGACGCCATAAAGCCGACTAGTTGTAACGTTAACGAAACTGTGACCACAGATCTTACTGTTTTTGTAGACGGACAGCAAGTAACAGCCTTAGTAGATACCGGTGCCGACTTTTCTATCATAAGTGAAAACCTTGCCGTGCGCCTAAAAAAAGTGAAGACTACGTGGACGGGACCTCACCTGAGGACAGCAGGCGGCCAGCTGTTGATGCCTGTCGGAAGGTGTACAGCGAGACTCGGCATCGGCAGCTTTTCTTTCTTGGCGACGTTTGTCATCCTCACCTCATGTTGCAAGGACCTGATCATAGGGATGGACTTCTTAAGAGAATATGGTGCCGTCATCAACATCCCGGACCGTTCGATTACGTTCCGCAACAGCCCTGGTTTGGTTGACTGTTCATACGCAATACATAACACTTTACGTATAATTGATGATGATGTGGTCGTCCCACCACGGTCATGCACTCTTGTTTCGGTGGAGGCACGAAGCGTTTGATGGCGAAGGCATTGCCGACCAAATTGGCTCGCTGCTATTTAGCCATGGCATTTCGGTCGCACGAGGTATCGTCCGTCTCACTGGTGGGCGCACAAATTTACTTTTGACCAACTTCAGTACTGAGCGCCGGCACCTTCTGAAGGGCACAGCTATCGCTTCTTACGACAATATCGTAGACATGCGAGGCAGTTTATGTTTATCGGTATTAGACGAAGCGCCTAATCAAGAACCAGAACCCGTTCTCGATGTTAGTCCCACTCTGTCAGAGGATGACCGACAGAGACTTCTTCAGCTACTAGCCGAATTCCACGACTGCTTTTCATCGACCTCACGAGTTGGTCGAACACCTTTGACAAAGCATCGAATAATCACCGAGGACACGGCGAGACCTATTCACCAGAACCCTTATCGTGTAGCTTTAAAGGAACGCGAAGCCTTACAACAACAAGTCGCGAAAATGCTTCAAGATGATGTAATTCAACCGTCACAGAGCTCTGGGCATCGCCTGTAGTGCTAGTAAAGAAAAAGGACGGCACGCTGCGTTTTTGCGTGGACTACAGGAAGCTGAATTGGGTGACCAAAAAAAGATGTGTACCCGCTCCCACGTATTGATGACTCCCTTGACAGACTTCGGCACGCTCGCTACTTTTCTTCCATGGACTTGAGGAGTGGATACTGGCAGATCGAGGTAGACCCAAGAGACCGACAGAAAACCGCTTTTGTGGCGCCAGATGGTTTATACGAGTTTAAAGTCTTGCCTTTCGGTTTGTGCTCCGCGCCCGCGACATTTCAAAGGCTTATGGACACGGTACTTTCGGGATTGAAGTGGAAGACGTGCATAGTCTATATGGACGACGTTGTATTATTTTCAACGACTTTTGACGAGCATCTCCAAAGGCTGGAAGTTGTTTTATGTGCCATACGGTCTGCGGGCCTAACATTGAAGCCGGAAAAGTGTCATTGCTGTTTCCACGAACTTCAGTTTCTCGGTCACGTCGTCAGTAACGTAGGCATCCGACCCGATCCTGGAAAAATTGCCGCTGTCGCACGGTTCCCAGTACCCTCCAATAAGAAGGCTGTCAGACGCTTCCTGGGCCTTTGTGCCTATTATCGCCGATTTATCGCAGACTTTGCCCGCATCGCGTCGCCACTAACTCGTCTCACAAGAGACGACGTTGCCTTTGAGTGGAACGAAGAACAGGAGGCTGCCTTTAATGACCTGCGTCAACGTCTTCAAACGCCCCCAGTGCTTGCCGACTTCGACGAAGAAGCCCCGACGATGCTTCACACAGACGCTAGCAATGTAGGTCTGGGAGCTGTGCTTGTGCAGCAGCAAGAGGGCACAGAAAGGGTAATCGCTTACGCAAGCAGAACGTTAACACGTGCTGAGGCTAATTACTCTACAACTGAGAAGGAATGTCTCGCCGTGGTATGGGCGGTTTTAAAATTTCGCCCGTATTTATATGGCCGCCCCTTCAAAGTAATTAGCGACCACCACTCATTGTGCTGGTTAACAAGTCTAAAAGACCCTAGAATTCGATATTGTAGTCGTACACAAGTCAGGCAAGCGACATATGGACGCCGACTGTCTGTCCCGTTCACCCATTGAGTCGGCAACCCTACCTGAAGAGGAGGAAATGGCATTTCTCGGTGTCCTCGACACGACTGCCATTGCGCAGCAACAACGTGACGACGCTGAGTTGCTTGGCCTAATTAACTACTTGGATGGCAGATCTCAGAAGGCGCCAAGAGTTTTCGCAAGAGTGTTGTCGTCATTTTGTTTACGGGACGGAGTACTCTACAAAAGAAACTTTTCGCCGACGGGATCTGCCTATCTGCTCGTCATCCCAGCAGCCCTTCGTACGGAAGTACTCAAAGCATGCCACAACAAGGTGAGCTCTGGCCATTTGGGTTACACGAGAACGCTGGCCAGAATACAGCAAAAGTATTACTGGCCGAGACTAACCACAGCCGTGAAGCACCACGTCCGTGCCTGTCTCGACTGCCAGCGACGCAAGTCACCACCGACTAAACCAGCTGGCCTCCTGCAACCCGTACAGGTCCCAACAGCTCCATTCTACCAGATCGGCCTGGACATTTTGGGCCCACTACCTACTTCTACTGCAGGGAACCGCTGGGTTATCGTCGCGACGGATTATCTGACCCGTTATGCCGAGACAAAGGCTATCCAGAGAGGTACAGCAGCAGAGGTGGCAACATTTTTCATCGAGAACATTGTACTGAGGCATGGTGCACCATCCGTCGTGATCACAGACAGAGGAGCCGCATATATGGCAGCTCTTTTGGATCACGTCCTCATGCTGAGTGGAACAGCGCATTGTAAGACCACCGCCTACCACCCACAAACGAACGGGCTGACAGAGCGTCTAAACAAAACCATTGAAGACATGCTTTCGATGTACGTAGATGTTGAACACAAAAATTGGGATGAAATCTTGCCGTACATAACGTTTGCGTACAATACGGCAAAGCAAGAAACGACGCGCCTGACCCCGTTCAGCCTCGTTCATGGACGAGAAGTACGAACTATGTTAGATGCGATGCTACCGCACGAAGGTGACGGCATCGACCCATACGCCAACACGTTGGCGGAACGCACGGAAGAAGCTAGGCAACTTGCACGTTTACGAATCCGCCAGCAACAAGAGTACGATGCAGGCTGCTACAATGCTCACCGCAGAACAGTCGTCTATCAAACTGGTGACAAAGTATGGGTTTGGACACCCGTACGGAAACGAGGACTTTCCGAAAAGCTTTTAAGAAGATACTTTGGGCCTTACCGAGTGCTGCGACAACAGAGTGAGGTTACTTATGAAGTTGTTCCCGACAGTTCGTGTAGTACCAATTGTCGCCAGCACCATCCTGAACTCGTTCACGTAGTGCGCATGAAGCCTTACGTCAGCGAGTGATTGCGTGAGACTTTTCTTTAACAAAAAAAACTGCATTATTGACTTCGCATCGGGTCGATGCTCTTTGAGAGGGAGGCAAATGACCCGTGTCTGCGTGTGAACGACAACGATGATGTGGGGATTTAGCAGACACCAAGTAGTGGGCCTCTGGCTTGACTCAACAACAAAGAAGACAATCTTGTGGCTTAGCTGTTGAAAACACGCTGCTTCCTCTGCCTCAAGGCATACTTGTGCTTTGTTCGCGTTGTACTGCGACAATATTTCGTAGCACGCAGCATTCTGCGGTTTGAAGAATTTCATTTTTCATGCAAGGCGTTCGGGCATCGATTGTGAGGCAAGCGCTTACACAATAGGCACTTCAACCTGGAATACAATTCTGAGCCAGTAGAAATCAATTCCATTAAGAGCTACACCAATAGACACACATCAAATTAATCACACGTACACCGGACGACCCCGATTCACTTTATAATGCGTACAATATTACACATTCTCTCCGCCTGCTTTGTTTTCTTTCGTACTGTGTCGCACTAGCAGGTTTTGTTGGTTGTTTTCTTCTTACGCCTTGTCCACACTTACATCACTCATATGGACCCACAACACAGTGCATATAACAAAATATCTCCAAGACTCCCACGTTGCGACACCCAAGTAACACACTCACGCACGAACATGTGGCAACGCTGATGCATGGCTTTTGTGTGCGGTAAATCACAGACGCGCGTATTCAGATTTCACCTCACCTTACTGCACACAAATTTTTTTTTTCCAGTGCATAGAAATAACGTTCTACTTTATTGCTGTTCTTTTGCTTTATGATGACTTCTTCGTGCATCACTTCCTTGCCATCTCCCCTTTCTCGCTGCTTTATTTGTTTAGTGAAAATAAACATTGACATACTGATTTCTTCATGTGCTTCTTGTTGTTCTCTCTCTCTTTCTTTTGTGCATTTAATTGCAGACCATCTTTGAGATAGGGAACACGGGCAAAAGTGCGGCGTTTGCGGTCATGAAGAATAAGCGGCGGAAACACGACAACCTCATCGAACGCCTTTCGGCAAGGGGCACTCAACAGGCGGAGGAAGAGAAACCAGCCGCCAAGTGCAGCAATGTTAGCAGCTCTGCTGTCATGGCGGGAGAGGAAGAAATAGGGGTAGGCTCTCCTCCTTGCTCTCCGGTGGCGGTTCGTAGTGTTACGAGTCATTTTATCAGCTCAAAAAGATGGAACATGTATAGATCGAGATACACACACACACAGCACTGAGTGTGCTATGAGTGTACTATGTCTTCACATAAGATTTTTAAAGTTACATTCAAACAGCTGCAGTTTCCAGCAGACCGATATTTCAGACCCTGTCAGGGACCACCTTATGGTTCAAATAATCTGTAGTTCCAAGTAACTGTTCTAGCAAAATACAAGTTTCGTTTTCCGGTGACTGAAAAAAAAAGGGGGGGGGGGGCTTTTAAAACATTACTGCATACTTTTGCAGCCTGTTGTTTTTCTGTTATTGTCATGATGTAGCAGATGACATAGTTATCAATGCGCATCTTAAATATCCGTGTACTGTCTACTCGAGCTCTTTTAATGATTAAGTACTTCTTCCCAACAGCCAATTTCACAATTACGTCACTTCATTGTTGTTTTCATCAATGGAGACACCAGCAAGTGAGCACCATTTAGTGGTGCTCATTGATTCTGAGCAACGAATGTTCATGATGGAAACCAAGGAAATCTGTAAGACTGTACTGTTATTTAAGAAATGTATGTTTTTTTGAATTAGATTTTTTTTAAACATTCATAGCTTACATATACAGTTAAATCTCGTTTTAATGAAGTTGGAGGGCCGTCGCAATTTGCTAGTTATAACCAATATTTCGTTAAAGCCACAGGGGGTATTTACTGCAAATATTATGCACTGTACTTACCAAAGACAAATAACAGGCTAAATAGCATCTCGCCTCATGGTGGCATGCAACAAAATTACCACATTCCGCAAATAAAAAGGGAATGTCACGCACTTATTTTGTTGCACTTCAAATAGATTTAGCTGCAAATAAATCTGTAATACAATGCTGGTGCATCTTCCTAATGCGAATGATGGCTTGCTCAGCTGCGGCCGCAATGTTCAAGCCATCTTATCGCCCTCGTGAGCGCCGAAATAGTGGCGCCCTACATCCACTGCGTCTAATGCCTCTGACGTTGCCGGCACCTTGGTCGCCCGCACGGTGGTCTCCCGTTTGTCGACAGAGTCATCATCGCTGGTCTCATCCAGATCATTGAATTTGCGCTCAAAGTCGTCATCGGGGAGCTGTTTCGTTGCCACCACTTCTGAGTCCGCACTCACTTAGTCGCATAATGACTCGCTGTCAGGCACGACACCGGCTTCACGAAGTGTCGTCCATGATGCCGAGACTTCGTCTGGTGCGGGGGCAAATGAAGTGTGTCGAAGGCAATTTGCAAGCGTGGTCGCCGTCACACTCATTCACGCCACTTGAAGCATTTCGAGAGTGTAGCGTACAAATCAACATGGGTGTCCCGCTTCAACCTCATGTTGAGCAGAAGCCTGTCAATCACGCGCTTGCGGTAACCTGCCTTCAGCGACATAATCGCGCCTTGGTCAAGCTGCTGTATTTTGGCTGTGCAGTTGGCAGGGAGGAATAGCAGCTCGATGTTATGGAGTGCAGCAGCGGTGTGGTGGGAGGTGCAGTTATCTAAAACAAGGCACACCTTGCGGTTCGCTTTTGCCAGCTTCTTATCTCATTCCAAAAGCCATTTTGCAAAAATCTCCCTGGTCGTTGAGGCTTTGCAATTGGCCGTGTACTTTGACTGGGAGCTGCTTCTTCTCCTTAAAGCAGCGGGGGAATGAACTTTTGACAATTATGAAAATTGGCAGCTTCTCAGAACCAGTCAAGTTGGCACATAGTAGCGCAGTGATCCGCAGCTTACTTTGTTTGCCCCCATGGCACTGCTTATCTCTGAGGGATGAAGTCTTGTGCGGCAAAAAAAAGAAAGCAGTTTTGTCCGCGTTAAAAATGTCTTCTGTGCTGTATTTTTCCAGCAGCCGCGTGATGTTTTCTTTCGCCCACTTCGTAGCCTCTGCTTTGTCAACAAATTGTGATTTGCCACAGACCACTCTCCCGACGATTTCGTGGCGCTCCTTGAAACGTTGGAGGCAACCCGAACTTGCTACAAAGTTATCTTGATCCATGATGCAGGCGAAGTCCCTTGCTTTTGTTTGTAGCATGGCACCACTCAGCGGCAGATTACGGCCCGCGTGTCCAAAATCCACTTAAAAACGGCCCTTTCGACTGCTTCAAAGGCAGCAGGCCTCATTCTCCTAACGTTTCCTTTCATGCCACGCGCAACAGCGCCGATGATGGACTCCTACTTGCTCATGATCGTGGACAGTGTACTCGTCGTCACGGCAAAGTCACTTGCCACTTTGCTTTTCTTTGTTCTTGCCTCAATGGCTTTTATCATAAGCCACCTTGTGGTCTATTCCCGCCTGGCGCATTCATGTTGCTGTGATTACGAGCAGCGCACGGTCAAGATAGGGCAGAAGCACTAAAAAAAAGACGCACGCAAAAACAATTCGGCTAACGTCGGCGAGTGAGAACACTAGCATGGAGGAAGGAAGTTGCAGGCATGCGTGTTGCGGCCATGCTTACTGAGGTTAAGTGGGGATGTTGCGAGTGGGCTTGCGGGCACAGAGAGAGAGAGATTAGAGTGGAAAGGGTTATCTTCACTGCAGCCTGTTAGGAAGCACGACTCAGCACCGTGAAGAAGGGGAGAGGACGAATATAAAGAAGACACAAAAGAAAGAAGTGAAAAGGGCGAGACGTTCGCGGAGATGTGGAGTCCCCTGCTGTCGGCGGTAGCCAAGCGGCGCACGTGCAATGCCCGTGCAAGACCCTCTCCTTCAGAAACAGCATGCACTTTGCGCACCTCAGCTTTGCGCGCGTTGCTGGAGGATGCGGCGCGAGAGTTTTGAACTACAGAAGCTGTCGCTCTGGGCACCATCTCAAATTCGCGTGTTGCACTGTCGTGACGTCGGCTCAGAATTTATTTCCTAACAAGATCTGTTCGTTATACCCCATACCTGGCAAATTTTACCTCGTTAAAATGATGTTTTGAATACATTGGTTTCTATGGGGACATTTAAGGGGAATCACGATTTGCTCGTTATATTCATTGCTTGTTATAACCCATCTCGCTGTAACGAGATTTAAGGGGGCAGACTGGTCTTGAAAATGACATATTTGGTTTCTGCAAGCATTTTTCTATCTCTGTGCGAATTTCCACACACCAGGAAGTGGTAATTTTTTTGTAATGTCGTTCTAACTGTCCAGATTTTTGGTGCTGTTAACATGCAGAACCTGCAAAAAAATGGGGAACCGACTTCGAGGCTTCTTTCTAATTAGCCCCCACCTGTGTTAAAAGTTCTGCTATGAATTTATGAGCGCCTTTATGAGGATTGCAAAACATGCACATCATCATTTTGAGGAAGCTGTGTGTTTTCAGTTTCTTCCCATTTTTCTCAAAAAAGTAAATGTAGGACTGCTCAATTCTAAGGCCTCTATATCTATGCAGCTAGGGCAGGTACAACAATAATTCTTTTTGCAATGTAAACCTGTATGTGTGTAGAATGCGAGTGTGGGAGCAGAGTTTAGAGCACAAGCCTTTTTAATTAATTACTCATCAAAATTATTATACGATTCCGACTGCTTTTGAAAATGGATAGTTCATTTTACTGTAGAATAACCAAGAAAGGCCTAAAAACAAAAAACTATTGCATACTTTCACTTTAAAGTCATTAGTCTATGTTGGCATATCTTAAATATCACTTTTAATTACGCACTTTTTTTCTATGGCGGCCTTAAACAGTAGGGGTAAACTTAAGTTATCTCAGGAATAAGATGATTTACATGAAAACTAATTAAATATTTGAAATCAGCAGGAAAAACTGCATAATCCTGGGCAGTTTGATCAAGATCACTGAAGGAATACACAAAAAATGTCTAAGACCAGTCTACCCCCTTAACTGCATTCACGTGCTTATGTTAAATGTGCAATTTTTTTAACAGTGTAGTTTTAGCAATGCATGAAAATTATTTATTGTATATTTTGGAGCAAATTTTCTTCTAAATTGCTAGGGTTACAAACAAAACTAACGCATCACAATAATGTCAAGTGATGACTGTATGTAATAAAATAAGGATGGGTGTTCTCAACCGATTTCAGCTATTTGAACAAAACTTGTAGTATTTTGAACATTTGGACATCAACAAGGTGACATTTAGCTCTGGAAAAAATGTCTTTTTTTCAGTGTAAATGTTAAAAAATCGACTAAGAATCGCACAAAAACACGGAAGTTTGGGGAGCAACCATTGAGCACCACTATTTTGCCAACATTCAAAAGCACATGGCATGGTCATTGTCTTGCGCAGTTTTTCCCGCCCTCTTCGCCTTCACTAACCGCCGTTCATAACAAATTGGGAGCCACAGACCTTTTGCTTGTGTTTTTTAAAGGCATTTTTTTTGTGTGTGTGCAAGCTTTTTGTGAGCATTCCGCTTGTATTTCATATGTAAAAGTTTACTGTTTGTAGTCTCTCTGATTGAAACTACCCTTTGAAATACTCTCAAACCATGATATAACAAAATATCAGTTATAACAAAGTGAAGGAAAAATAGTCTGGAAATAAATAGTTTTAGGAACAAACCATTTTCAGATGAAACGAACTTAATCTCATGTAAAGTCCAACTTAGTTTATAATGAGATTTGAGTGTAGAATGATGTTCCAGGTTACTGTTTTTGGCATGCAGTTTCTGTTTCATTGAATGAGTGACTACCCGTTGCTGTTCCTTGCAGCAAGCGTTTGCTACTGTGATCAACAATAACACCAAGGTGCCCAGCAGGAAAGGTGCCAAGAGTGGTGCAGCCTCCCAGTCTGCAGCCACCAAGAGCAAGAAGGCCAAGCCAGCCTCGTTCAAGGACGAGCAGTTCTACATACCCCACTTTGCGTCAGACTTCCACTCAGAGAAAGGGCGAGTGAAATTTGCATTTATAAATATGCTTGCGTGTAAAGTAATAATGGCATCCAGTCTCGTCCCTTGCTACCTTGTGTGAAATTTGTAGCCTTGACTCTGTAGGCTTAACCTTGATTCCAAAAATTTGTTTACGCAACCACACTTGTGCACCAGTGTACAATGAGCAAACCAGGGAACGTGGCCTTAGTGAAAAATACTGTGGTGCAGTCGCACATTCAGAACGTGGGTACATGTATTGGCCACATTTCTGTGAAATAATGATCAGCAGACAAAAAGGAACTTGAACGTTTTGTTAGTCAATGGAAATGTAGTGCAAATGCTTCAAAGAGAAAAAGATAGATGTACCGTATTAGTTATGTCTTCTTTGACCAATCTCTGCTACAGTTAAACCCTAAGAGGCATGCTCTGGGCAGCAGTTCTTGTCTTTTATATAAGATGTCTCTTATAAGCAGAGTACCACTTATTCATTTTCTTATTAACCCGTATTTTGCTGTATGCACACTGATGTCTCTTATAGCCAATAATCTCTTGCGTCAGGGTCTCTTTAATGGGCTAGACTCTGTTGCAATAAGCATCTTCACCTAGCTGCTTGACAGGCCATGTGGCATAGTGCATAGGGGCATCGGAAATATACTGGATGCTCCCATAAGTTATAACCCAAATGAGCTTCTGCATGAGTGTGGGCTTGTCCAAGTGTGTTTCATGTGCAGGATTAAAAGCAACCCGTGTTTGGTGGATGTAAATTTGTGCCAATGGTTGCGTGAATGTCAAACTGACCATTGCTGTCTTTTCCTCGCGTAAACCAACATGCAGGCTTGAGCTAGAGAAGACCTTTGAGCAGCAGGCATCGCAGGCAGTGCTCGACCTGACCGGGGATGACGACAAGTACCTCAGGAAGCAGAAGAGTGCGCTCAAATGGTCGGTGCAGTATCATCTCATGCCCCTTGTCATTAAGGGTAGACAATGACTTTTTAAACCGTTTCATTTCTTCATTGATTTTTTTATTAAACTTGTTGAGTTTATGTGTATTCGTGTGGTTTCAAATATGAAACATTTTTTCTTAAATGAAGTGTAATTTTTAAAATGAGAAATATTTCATGGGCTGTTTGGAGAGCAAGATTTTTCTGAACTAGGGGAGCTACAAAGTAAATTAGCTCTTCACAATCGTCACAGCAAGTTTTAAAAAAACTTGCTGCTTAAAAGGCACATCAAACATTTTTCATTTTAACAACTACACCTTAGACAAAAAAAAAAAAGTGATCGCATATATTAAATCTGCACACAAATATACACAAACTCACCAAGTTTCATGGAAATTGATCCAGAAATAAAAGTTATGTCCCCCGTTAAAGGGACTCGTCTTGTGCAGGCTTGTTACTTCTGTCGGTGTTTCACGCTTTTTGCGCATTTTTTGTTTCAATACACCTTTGCAGGGACAGAAAGCGGAAGCGCTTTGTGCGTGACGACAGTGACCCCAAGAAAAAGAAAATCAGAACTGAGAGCGGTGCCTGGATTCCAGCATCGTACAAGTCGGACGTGTATCCTTTCTCACCCTGTGCAGAGCCTGCCTGTTGTTTTGCATGCCAGAGACAATACTGACACAGCTATATCTTTTCTTTTTTATAGCGACTGGGTTTCACGCATTAAAGGGACCATAGGCTAATTCTTTATTTGAACTAGAGCTGAACCCCTTTATAGGAGACTTGAACCAGAGAGCAATTTTATATGAGGCGTCTCTCATAAGCAGGGTAGCATGTATGCATTTACTTGTCGACCCCAATTCACGTCTCTTATATCTACACTCAAACCTTGCTATAACGAAGTTGAAGGGGAGCCACAATTATTTTGTTATAGCCATTATTTCGTTATATCGATTATAACAGTTTGTGGCAATGTATGCTCAGATGGGCGCACACCTATAAGCATGCAAAGAAGGAAACCGCCTCGTGGCCCGATGTACCGCTACGCGACCACGAGTATGACGGAAAATAAACAGTCGAATCTCATTTATTCGAACACGCTTAATTCGAACTTCTGGTTAATTCGAACTCACGCTGTGGTCCCGCCAAAGCTATGTTTATTCCAATGGGCAAAAACGCCCTGCAGTTCGAACGCGCAAGCACTTGCCACAGTTAATTCGAACATAACGCGCTCCGAAAATGCTCCCAGCTCCATGCCCAATCCCGCGGCAGCACCTCTCAACGCTGCATGCGAAGAAGGAAAAAAAGAAAAGGAAAGAAAGTACCGTGGCGGATTGTTTGCTCTCTCTCAAACCGATCTGCTACGTGCCTGTGCTACGTGCCTCTTCTCCCTTTTCCGTCTCTGCACGTAGAGACCCTTCTCCTTTCAAGGTCGCGTGCGGAGGGAGAGGGGAAAAAAAGCTGTCGCGGAGAGTTCTTTCTTGGTGCAGAGGGTAGCAGCGGAGGCGCAGTCGTTGCCGTCACCTTTAGAGAGTGTTGGTGCTGGACTTAGCCGCGCCCTACTATGCTTTGCAAACTACATGCGAAATTGATTGATTCGCTGCAAGGCAAATGTGTGCAGACGCGCATCACCGATTACTTCAATTAATGACGGATGTCCTCTGATTTGTGAATAAATGGAGCTCTTCTGAAGCTTCCCCATCGTGTGTTCTTATAAGTGAGAGGGAAATTGCTTTGCATCGCAGCGCCGCTTCTCGGTCATGTGATCCCCTGAGCTTTTCCTCAATCATCTCCCCTGGCTTGTGAGAAAGAGGGATCTCTCGACCGCGCGCGGCATGGCTGTAAGGTCGGCGCGGGAGTTTTGAAAGAGCCTCGCCGAACGAGCGTAAAACTCCGCAGAAAATGATATACTTAACACACTACGGTCGGTTTTTTTTATAGACTATTTGATAGACTAATTTAGTTCGCTATATGCATTTAGCAGTCAATCTTACTTCGTTACAACGAGGTTTAAAATGCATGGTTCTCAATGGAGCTTTCAAGGGGAACTTCATTTACTTCATTATATCCATTATTTCGTTATATCCCGTTACATTATAACGAGGTTTAAGTTCCACCTTTAGTCCACGCCCCCCTTTTATGAGATGTCTGATCTGTGAGGACATGGCATTCATTTACATGGCAGGCACGTGTACAGTAATGACAGCAGCACCCGCTGCTGCGATAAAAAAAAAAAAAAGCGACGCCAACGTCATTTGTAATATGATTGTGAAGGAGGTACATGAAGGTAAATTTGGGCTTCCAAGATTCGCGTGCACTACCGTGAAGGCTACAGCGGGTCATCGAAGGTTCATTCTGTCACGGTGTAAGAAAAGCATCTTTCTACGCTATGATTACGATGAAATGGCAGCGCGGGGCGCATACCCGTGCTCAGGTTTCTGTTCCTGCACGTGCTTGCCTTGCATTCCACGACAGTGCAGGCAGCCCCTGTTGGTATCTGCGCCATGGCGTTACGTTCGTATCAAACATCGTGGGGTGAAAATGACTTCTCCGTAACCGTGCTTCATTACACTGCAAGCCAACGGGCCTTTGTTGGGATCAAAAAAAAAAAAAAAAGAATTACAGCATATCCATGAAGTGAATGATGGTGAGTGGGCGAAGCTTCAAGAGATCATTAAGTCCCGTACATTCTTTCTTTCTTTCGTAACCTAGTGCGCACCATGACCATGAGAGAGCCGTGAGCAAGCGCGTTTTATAGCTTTTGGGGCGCTACAGCTCAAGAAACAGCGTGCCACGAGCGCACCCGCGATCATCGTTCTCCTCATCTACCTACGATCGGCGCACTTGCAGCCGGCGCTCCCAGCGCATGCAAGCCAGGACGACAGACATTCAATGTCACGCTGACGAAGGGACAAGGCTCAACCCTAAGAAGCTTCGCCCCTAAATATTGTATCACTCCGAAATCGCATGAATCGTCATCGTATCACAGAGATTTTACTGTGAACCAGTGTGTTATAATGGGATTTAACTGTAACGATTAGTTGACCTCAGTACTGAAGTTTATTTCATCACGAATCGATCACCGCAACAGTTTCTCGAATCCATCAAGTATGAGGGGAGTTGCAGGGACCTGCCATGCGCTGTACGCACTTGTCTTCTTTCCACGTCCTGACTGGGGTGCTGAAAGCTTCACATGAAAAGATGACAATGGGTAACGGAGGTACGTCACACGCATATCATGACTTTAAGTGTGCATCATGAAATACGATAGCTCTTTTCTTCTCTCGTTACCCCAGCAGGCACAAGTGTCACCACGATGTAGCTTTAGTGCACTGTAGAATGCATCGCTCAGTCCATGGTGGAACCCCGTGGCGAGAAGTGCATCTGATGCAAACGCCACTGTTTGTTTTATGCCAACTATCGGCCAGTATGATGGTCCTCCAAAGAGTGCGAGGACAGGCCTCTATACAAAGTAAACAGCAACTTCGCACTTTCCATGTGAGCTCTCCTTGCTGAGCATGACTAAGATTTTGGAGAACTGTTCACAGCAGTGCCTGCTTTCCACAGTACCTATGTGTCTTTTTATACCATGCATGATATACATTTTAAGACTGTCTAAGCTACATGTGGAAAGTATGCAAGCCACGTGCATTGGAATGATATTTGGTTTTGGAGTTGGCTGCCCATAAGAATCTCCGATTTTTGTGTGCATTCTTTCTGCACGCATTCATTTCAGCATTTGGAGTCATGCGAGTTTCAACTCATACTGAGGTCAAGTACAGACACTGTGACAGTTGAACCCCTTTATGAGAAACATGTTCTGTGAAGCAGTTCTTGTCCCTCTCATGAGTCATGTGGTTTATAAGCAGGTTACCCTGTTCTCAATTTCTGATCAATTTCTATTTTAATTCAGGTGCACTGGTATCTCTTCTACATCAGTGTCTTTTGTAAAGTGGTTTAATTGTATTCATCTTCTCTGTTCGTCCAACTTTGTGTACCGTTATAATTAGCGTGAAAATATTGCATTGCAAATTAACAAGAGCAAAAAAAAAACAAAATTGTCTTGTATTCAGTGTCATTCTGATATACCTTCTCAGGAAACAACCCTCTTTTTTTGCAGTTGATTTTGAAGAAACAGCTGGGTTGTTAGGGCTACCACTTAATAACTTAGCACTTGTGACACAATGTGTTCAAAGAAAACCCTTGACCTACTACTTTATCAGCTACAAGCAGTGGAGGAAGAAGGCCCAAATGGATGCTCGAGACGAAGGAGGTGATGATGATGATGAGGGAGAGGCTGGCAGTGGCCTTGGAAAGCAGAAAGTTTCAGCGTGCGGTGAGTGGTGTTTTGCCATGCCACTGATGAGCATCATACGTGTCACAATGGTAGAAGTCATGGAAATACTTGAATCACATCTGCATTGCCACATAGCAGTAATTATCATCTCGATGTCATGGTTGAGTTGCAATGTTTTCTTATCGCAGTTTCTGTTTTCATACTTTTCAGCTCTTATCATTAAAATTGTTCAGCATTGGATTTTAGACATCTTGACTGTGAAAACATGCCAAAGAAGTGATTCTACCAAAAAAGTGAAAACCCAATTGTTGGACACAATAACTCTAGATTAATAATATTGCTGGGATTTGTGACACCGTGTGATTGTGCTGTTTCTCTTAAACAGAAGAGGTGCTTCCACAATGATTTGCCAACAAAGGTCAGGCAGCAAAGTTAGCAATAATTGCAGTCTGCTCCTTAAATGAAGAAAGGCAGGCGGCTCCCTTCAGAATTTTTTTTACGACTACTGTGCCTCCCTGCCAGCCACTTTTTCAGCCATGTGTGCCTCTGCACTTAGTGCCGCATTAACAAAAATTAGGTTGAAGAGCACCAGGTCATTAAAAATATTGTATCATGAATGGGCGAGGAGAGAGAAAAAGTTTATCGAATGTCCTTGCTGGGGTCAAAGGAGGTCACAGTGCAAGTAGCACCGTTTGCTTTGCATTCTGGTGGAAATAACATCTCTTCTACCAAATTTTGCAATGAAAAGCAACAGACATCTATGATTGTTGGAGTCCTCCCTCATATTAGCACTCAAAGGCTTTCCTGCCTGTATTTTGCAACAAAGCTTTGTTGTTAACAAAGCATTACAGGCAGAAAGTGTAAAGTGTGCTACAGTGCAAATCGCATGCCAAAACACGAGTTTGCTGTTGCAAGTAGTTTGTATGTAGCATCAAGGGGTGATGTAAAGACATATTTACTCTAAGCTAGGTTGACAGTTTATTTCTTTTTTTTTTTTGAATACCCATGTATGAGACTCCTTGGTCAGCTTATAATCAAGGATTCAAGAAAATGCGTCAGTTTATGATCGAAACTGAGAAAAACGGTTTACTGCTAAGCTGACTAGAAAAGACACTGTTGTGAGAGCTAGTGGCCACACCAGTGGCAACCACTGAAGTTACCATTACTGCCAGCACAATTACCATCAGAGGCATTTGCTGAAGGCTCACGCCGTCATATCTCGTTTTATGCTTTCCTCTTCTAAGTGTACCCCACAATTCGAGATGTGGCTGACACAAAGCTCTATTGCAAAATATATCTTGAACTTTCGATCACACACGATGGTCAGGCAGTGATTACGCCCTTTGAACGAATGTGCGAACGGCCGGAGATGCGATAGCAGCCACTGACAAACATGCGAGTGTGACCCATCCCCATCAGTCTTATCGCACTATGCATTTTCGACCATCTCTGTTGGACAGTATGTGTAGCATAGCGCTGTTGTATGACTACTGCGCACTATTTGTAGGCAACAAACTGAACAAGTTAACAGCCTTTGTAAGGCTGTGTATTTCTGCCCAGTGCAGAACGAAAGAAAACAGTGCAGTGGTAAAGAATGCATAGTCATTGCAACGTTGGCCCAACTTGATACATACGACACTTGTGGACTGTCTGGAGTGAGCAGCTCGCACACAAAGAAACTTCAGTGCACCAAAAGTCACATGTTAAATGTGTGCATCGTGCAAGTGTACGAGTACAGTTGGTTGCTGAGGTTACAGGAGTAGGGGACACACTGCACACAAATTCCTCGGCACTGTTGGTGTCACGCCGCAGAGGTGTTCGATTTCAGAGAAGCGACAGCAGTTTTCTTTCAGTTGATCGTATTACAAATACTATGCACATGAGCAAAGGCAAAAGCTGCATGAATCATCTGCTCAGCCATTGTGTGCAACCTTCCTTTCTCTTTTTTTTTTCTTTTTTCCTAGTTGGCCTTGCTTTTTTCCTTCATAGTTTATGCGTTGGCTTAGAATAGGGGAGCTAGTTTAGATTCGAGTAAATATGGTACTTTTTACATATTAATTGTGACTACAGAATTAATCAGTAAGTAAAAAACATTTTCATACACGAAAGAAGGGAACTGTGTGGACTTGTTTTCTCGACACAACCTCAATGAAAGCCAGCAGAATATGAATCTGAGAAAGGTATAAGAGATGTCAGTTGTACTGTTTCAAGTGCAGCGTAGTAATCGTGATATCGATGTGAAAAAACTACTACTGTAAAATCCTGAGCAAGTGCCCTTCTCTCCTTTCTGCAGTGGAAGAAGAGAATCGGACAAAATTTATAGGGCGAGGGCTTCCTTGATTGCAGACCACAATTCAAGATGGCGATAGAATAGCCTCTAGAGGGAACGCACACCTGTGCTCCTTCTGAAATGCTTCATTGAATATGCATGCATTGATTATTTTTACTGAACCGGAGCGAATCCTCGTATGTTATGACAAGGGGGCAATACTTTCTTCAAAAGTTCCAACAACCTATTTCAACTCAGAATGGAACGCTGCCCCCTCTGTGAGGCATTACAGTAATCATGCACACATCAAAACACCTGGAACTACAGCTGCAGCACAAAGTAGTTTGAAAACTTGGGTTGGGGGGGGCAGGGGGCTTGCTCACTCATTGGCCCATATTCAAAATATCCTGAAAAAGGAAAGGAGGCACTCACTCGAGATTGCATGGTAAAATGGATGAAAGGACAGCTTGTCATTGGTAGGGACAGAACCTGCAACCTCCAAAGAAAAAAATTAAAAAATTCGACACATCCCATGTATTTGGGAATAGACGTTATAGGAAAGGTGACCGTGTTGCTATATTTTTATTGAGCGACATGTCACGAAATGACGTCAAATATATGCATAAATGTTGCACGCACAGACATTTGTTGAAGAGTTGCATATGTTTATATAAGCAGTTGTTTGCACTTGTGCAACGATGCCAACTGGAACATGCGTATTAGCAACACCAGAAGCTAATATGAAGCGCTCATACTTGCGAGGATGCTAGCCCTAGACACTGCTACATAAATCAACTTCAGTGCATGGCAAATAACCATAATCGATGTTAACCAGACGTGATGGCTGTATCAGAGGAGTACATATGTAATGTTTATAAAATTGGGTAGGCAGCACTGCAACCACTATTGATGTTTCACGAAGATTAGCGTCTGTTTGAAAAGTAGTTTCGAGACCTGGCATAGCTCTGTGGTAAAATGCTTTATTGCCACGCAGAATGCTTGAGTTCGATTCTAGCTGGGACCCGGACATTTATTCTTTGCATTCGTCCGGTCAATGCTAGCGATGTCAAGTATTTATCAAAAGGACATTCCCAAAATGATCCCGATAACATCAGACGGACTGCCTACAATTAGTTTCTAGTAATTGATCTAGCTGCACTAAATAAAGACTCTTCCGTGCATCAAGACATTTAATAAAATGCTGATTGTTCATTTCTGTTTGATTCATGGAAAAAAGAACCGCTGTACGTTACTATGGGGAATGACGCGAGTGGGTAGAAAATTTAATTTTCACGTAGTTACAAAGGATACGTGGTGCCATATAGCAGGGCGCAGTTGAACCAAAAAACACCTGCAATCTCAGAGCCAATGGCGGGAAATTGATCAATGGCCGTTGTTGCTGCTGTAGCTCCTGCTGCTTTCAGTCTACTGTAACTAGCGCAGTAAAGCCAGTCAACATTATGCATGGCATCAGTGACATGAGTCGGTCCGGTCGGTCCGCTTCTTGAGGCGGGTAATTTGAAATGCGCTAACTTGATGCGGGCCACTAAAACATCGTTTTATTTGAAAATAGGCCCTTTGCTGGCACAAAAGTAACACTACGAGGTTTCTGGATCACTATTTCAATAATTACCATCGACTTAATAGTTGCCTTTAAGCTCCCTTTAACGCTCGCTCGTTAAAATTGTCCATGTGTGTTGTCGTCATTCCTGGGCAGATACTAAGTGTCGATCACCTGTGGCACATACCCGCATACGAGTGGCACATAACCACCCGTGGATATGTGCCACAGTTTAGAGAGAAGTGTTGCACGACAATGTGACATCATTTATGTCTTGACCAGCGCGTCATATTCGACAAACCATCATACCCTCCCATGCTAATTTTGGTTCACGCCAAGTTAAGGGGGTGACCACGAGAGCACCCAAACGTAAGCGACTAGACAGACAGACAGACAGACATGCCCGAAGTCGCCCAAGTACGCTAAGAAATGCTTCGCATTTAAAAAAGAGAAGGGCTACGCATTGCAGTGCAAACGATTCATCCAGCTTTCCTTTGACGTCAGAAAGTTTCAAGTTCGATCCCTGCTGGCAACAAGTTTTCTTTTCATCCATATCACTTCGTTCACATCTATCGCAAGTAGCGTGCACTGATGGCTGCGTAATTAACAGATTGACCCTCCTTTGCTTCATTATCCGCTAGTTTTCATAAGGTTGTATCAAACAAGCGAATCCTCACAATTTCTTTTTTCTTTTTGTTTGCCAAAGCAGGAATTGTTAGGAACTGAATGCATGTGCATACATTAATCATATAATATTAATGAGAACAGACAGTTTATTTGCATCAAAACTTACATGGCACACATATATATCTAGGTATTAGCATAATCTGCGATTGCGTTTTTATGTGCAGCTGGCTCTATCAGACAGCTAAAGACGTTAGTTCGCACATTCAGTTATGGCTGAAGATGAAGATGAAACGTGCCGGGTTGGTATCCTGCAGTAGAAGAGACAAGAAAAATGGCTTTCGATCTCTCAGTGCAGTGAACTGTCTTGGCCGGCGCATGTGTGCAATTTAATATATGTATATCGCAATGCACCTGCTTATTAATAACAGAAATTGCATATCTGGCGTAGTATTAATGGCACTGTTCAACTACGTCACATGTGGGCATGACGTCGAAAACGTGCTCAATAGGAGCAGAGAAGCTTTTAAAGGGCTTCCTTGGATTTCTCAATGGCGGGTGCGAGGCGTGCATAGCCGGGCCATGGTATGGCATTGCGGGCCATGATCGGGCTACGACGCGTGGCCTCCCTTGGGTGCAGAGTCAAGGGTGGTGGAGGCAGTGAAGGCCGGTGGAAGCCCGCACCACGCAGCAGCTGGCTCTTGGGCATCAGCGTGTTCCACTTGAGCGTCAGCCTGCACATATCAGAATGGAAATTGACAGATGAGCTTCGCATTTCGCGCATTGGATCTACTAGCAATGCTGAATTGATTCTACAAGAGTGATCTGACTTAGCCCTGCCACATGTTTTTTTTTTACGTATTATTGTCATGGGGTTGCGATGATGAAGTGTACAGAACCAAAGCTGAAACAGATTCAACTGTTCATTGGGCAAATTTTTACCCAGTAAAAGAAGTAACATGATAGTGGCAATCATAGTCATCCAGAAAACTGTTCTGTGTTGGCATTTATGCGTGCATCATATGATCATATGATCCCAGCATTATTGGAATACCCCACATGCCTCCATTCAAGCTTCTGGGTTCAATGTTGCGTTCTCAGGTTCCTCCAGCCTAGCTGGTTTTGAGGGAACTACATCATAAAAAGTTCTCAATGTGCAGAACAAAAACAAAAAAAAGGAAGAAGATGAAAAAATGCTTGTTTGTCTTCTTTGCTTTCGTATCTCTTTGTTACTTTTACATTTCCATTTACATGCAGGTTGGGTTGATGCACTGAACGTTTAAGTACACGTGTGATATTGACATAGCTTTGTGTTGCCAATTTTCTAATCCCAGATATCTGAGAAAGTTTTATAAAAGTTGTGTGGATCAATAGCAAAAAAAATTGGCAGATCCCACGTACAATCGGATATGCGAAGCACGAATGAGAAAAGTTGATAACGTTACGAGGCAGAGGTAAATTATGCCGTACATGACTTCCATGTTATGACTATCATGTTTGGACGCGTCATTTAACTTCGTCATCTATTCACGTCACCCGATACTAAATTTGGTGCATGTGAAGCTAGCGAAACTTCCGCGCACTATCAGCGTGTCTACCAACCTGGAAAAGTCTGAGAATTTGTACCCTTCTGAAAAAGTCATGGAAAAGTCAGAGAATTTCTGAAAAACTTGGCCATGTCATGGAAACTGACAGCAGTTCCGTGCGAGTGTCACAAAAATAAGCATTATCCTTGATCAAACCTTAAAAAGTCTCTCTCAACTGCAAATACAGTGAAGCTGCTTGAAGAGGTGTTGTGTTGTCTAACTCTTTTCTTGATATTGTTACGGGGAAGATTTATTCACCGAGAGCTGGTCTTGTTAACGGCTTAGAGAGCGCACAGTCAAGCAGGCCAACGGGAGAAGCTCGAGAGTCCAACTTACAACAACCACGTTGTCGTCTTCTTCATTTGGGTGCCAATTCAGCTGTGTCGGGGCGACAGTTCCATACACGTATCAATATCACAAGTTTCACTGATACTTGTCCTTTACATGGGCTAAAGCATTCCTTAGCTTTCATGTTGGTATGTGCACTATTTTAATGTCTGTTGCTTCTACATATCACATGGCATATGTGAATTTCAAACCACAACATTACTTACATCTAAATTTAGGCATGTGTGTCTAGGCCATGATTTCGGCTCGGCTTGAAAGCCGTCTGGTTGGTCTAGGTTGTTTGTCTAGGCTAGAACTGTCATCACCAGATGCTTGCCGGGCTACTGAACTCATGCTTATTATTATTATTATTATCATTATTATTATTTGATGCAACAGCAAACATTCTCAGCTACACACTTATTGCAGGTAGCTTGTGTTTCAAGGGTAGCACTTAGGTAACTTCAGCTAAATTTCTCTTTTAAGTTTCGTGACATTGTGTAAATAAATTATTTTTTAGTGCGACATCCACAGAAAAAAACGTAGATCAAGGTAACATGCCGACATTTGTAGTTCGTCTGTGGAATCAAAAAAGCTGTTGAACATCGGGGAAAAAAAAAGAAAAAAGAAAGTTTTACAGTACGCCTCTGTTCTTGCATCGTTGTCAAGGCAAGGTACACAGAATATGCGAGTAGTAGCTACTCATTATTTTTGCTGAAAAGAATATTTTGCAGGTGTAAAAATTAGGCGGGGATGCAAATCAATAGTAAATACAGCAATGGAGGTTGGATCAGACCTAATTCTATCTAAATTCCAACTAGCTGAGCCAGTAAATAGAGCAGTTCAAGTCGATCTAATTCAATCCAATCCACATTTAAGCGGCGTGAGCTACAGCCATTAATAGTAAACTAGATTATACGTACTTCAGTGGCAGAATCGGCCAGGCTCCCATGTCGTCATTTAACACGAATGCCACGAGATGGCACCACTTCTACATTTCCTAGCAGCTTTGACTGCGATTTCGGACTATCGCAGGCTCCTTCAAACTTTCACTTGCAGTTATTTTAACTTGTGTGCTTGCTTCCTGGTTTTTCTGAACATCGAACAGCTGACTTGATCACTGCCTGGCTCAGGGGTTTTATTTTGGCCAGATATACATGTTTTTTCACATTCACCGCATGTGCTCATGACATTCATTGTGCATCTGGTAAATATGTTTACTTATTTTATATGGAGCGCCCAATTTTTTTTTTACACCTCTAGGAATTGTTCCCAGTGCACAGAGCTTTCCAAGCAAATGTGGCCGTCATGGAATTTGGATTTAATCATCATGGAAAACCTGGAAAAGTTAGGATATTCAGTAATATCAAATTGGTAGACGCCCTGACTATGAGCGTAGCATGTAATCATGTTTTACATGGCACACATATTATGATTATCATATTTGGACGTGACATTTACATTCATTGTCCATTCATGTCACGTATTGCCAAATTTGGTATATTTGGCGCTAGCAAAACGGCCGCGAGCACATAATAAGTGTGGTATGTTGTCATGTTTTTACATGACATGCAAGTCATGATTATCATGTTTGCACCAGTAATATACCTTCGTCATCCATCAACCTCAGGTAACACCAAAATTGATACATAAGAAGCTACCTAAACAACTGCGAGGGCATTATGAGCGTAGCATGCAATCATGTTTTACATGACATGCATGTCATGATTATGTTTGGACATGTCATTTACCTTTGTCGTTCGTTTGAGTCATGCAGTACCAAATTTGGTATAAGTGGAGCTAGCGAAATGGTCGGGAGCGCATCATGAGTGTAGCATGTAGTCATGTTGTTACATGACATGGATCTCATAATTATCTTATCGTGTTTGCACCAGTCGGATACCTTCCTCATTCATTCAGGTCCCGTAATACCAAAGTTAGTATATGCGAAGCTAGGAAAACGACCGCGAGCGCATCATGAGTGTGGCATGTAGTCATGTTGTTACATGACATGAAAGTCATGATTTTCATGTTAGGGTCGGTCGCTTGTGTTCGCCATGCAGTCATGTCATACCATTACCAGTTTTGCAACATATCAAGTGAACGAAACCACTGCAGGAGCAGCAAGACCATGAAATGTAAATCATGACATTGATGACATACATGTCATGATTTTCATGTGATGACTAGTCACTTATGCTTGTCATGCAGTCATGTTATGCCATACTAATTCTGGTATCGATACCATTTTCGACACGGTCAGGAGAGCTAAAAGTCGTAAACGGCTAGATAGATAGATAGATATGCTCGAAGTCGCCAAAGTTCGCTAAAAAATGCTTCGCAAAATTTAAAAATGCACTGGCTTTTCAGAGAGGAATAGAACACATTTGTTGCATCAAATCTCCTCTTGGCTTGAGATCAAAGCCGCCTCTCAGGAGCCAAGAGGCCAGTTTCTTAGTAGCTGAATGTTATTGGCAGGCCAGCGCCATTTTTGTCACTTTTTGTGTGGGCAGTCCAATAAATTCATGTGCTGCTTGTGCAGATCGATTAGGGAAGCGGCACAGCGGCCCTGCACGTCAGAAGGGCCCAAAGAAGCACTTCCGACGAGAGCTCAAGACTAAAGAGGAGATCCTCAAGACACGGAAACGCAAGGCTCGGATCAACTATCACGTTAAAAAGAAACACATGGAGCGAGCTGCCAAGAAGCGTAGAACATGAGGGAGGGCACTGGTTGTACAAAAAATAAATGGTTTAAACAATGTCTATTTCTTGTTATTGTTCAGGTAAGTTTAAGTGTTGGGCGTATATACCCATTCAGCCTTAGATGACAAAGCAGCCGCATATTTATTTATTTATTTATTTATGATACCCTCAGGGCCAAAGGCATTACAGAGGGGAGTGGTTTGGGAGCAAGGAAAAACAAAAAAAAAGCACAAAGACGTTAAGATACAACATACAATAACATCATTAACACAATGGAATTAAAAAACATTAGAAGAACTCCTGATTATACAATGTTAGCTAGAACATTTTGAAACTGTTGGACGTCATTAATGGATGCCGTGTCAAAAGAAAGGCGATTCCAGTCGCGACTTGTCCTGGGCAAGAAGTAATGAAAGCAATGCATTGTTTTGCACATATCAATTCCAACTTTGCGCGCATGGTCAACATGACCTGATTGATAGTGTGGCCTAGGTATAAGCTCGCCACGCAGCACAGGGTAGTGATACAGCTTATGAAAAATAGTCGCGAAATTTGACGCCTTATGGAGAGAGAGATGGGAGGGCTAAATCAGATTTCATTCTAGTAATGCTCGCGGTTCGATGGTAATTGCCTGGCACAAACCTAACAAAATTATTTTGAACAAGTTCTAGTGCAGTTATAAGTTTTCCGTGATAAGGGTCCCATACTGAGCATGCATATTCCAGTTTGGAACGAACTAATGTTTTGTAGAGAAATAATTTGAGTGATGAGGGAGCTGTAAAAAAATTGTGACGCAAGTAACCCAACATGCGGTTAGCTTGGTTAACAATATGCTCAATATGAAAGTTCCAGGTTAAGTTCGTGGTAATGTGAATGCCAAGGTATTTGTAGGAAGCAACTGATTCTAATTGGATATTCTTAAGAAAATATTGTGATGGGTTGGTTTTAGTACGAGAAACACGCATTGTCTTGCATTTGTTAGTGTTGAGTTTCATTAGCCAAGTTTTTTACTTGGTTTGTCACCATTCATTGTGTAGCATGTATAATAGAAAGCATTTCGTGCTAAGAGAGTGCTCCTAAGGAATAGGTATCACACTCTGGTGATTTTGCTATTGATGTTTTACATCTACATAAACCAGCAAATAGCCAACATATAAACCTAAGAGTAAGCTCGCTGCTTACTCTCTGGTTTAAGTATGTGCCACAAGATGGCAGCACCTATAGGACTGCTGATTAGATGGTTCAGGCTAGAAGGCCTATTGTTTGCTGTTTACAGTTTTTTCAGAAACCTATCATCGACCGGTGCAAATGTGTACGCCTCTTAAGTTAATTCACCTCTCATAGTCACCTTAGAGGTAGGAGTCTGGCTTAGCATCACAATCTTCCGGGAAGCTTTTCTTGGCTTTTTAACACTAAACTGCCATCATTTTTGTCTTGCTGAAGAGTTGCGTGTTTTATTGATGCAAGAGAGAACCATGTGTTACTTTTCACATGTGATAATTATTAAGCTTGAAATATGACAATTACTTTTATCTAGATAGCAATTACATGGACACTCTCGGCTGGATTTTGCCGTTGGCGTTGACGTCTCCGTTACTCACCGTATAAGTATACGTATCTATATATAAAAATGCAAGAAAGAAACAATCCAGAAAAAGACTCCGGCACGCGGAATCAAACTTAAGTCCTCTGAATCGTGAGTGCGAAGAGTTAACCACTGTGCCACCGAGGAGCACGTCCTTCACCATTCAAACGGTAAGTTATTTATATCTACCACTTACTGCTGCTGGCGGTCATCTGGAGGGGGGGGGCGGGAATTATCGTGTTTTCAGCATTACCAGCAGGATGGTACAATGAGCGCGCGCTCTAATCTCCTACGCGTACTTTGTCCTGCTTAGAGGAGGAGAGCGACGCACCCTCGCGCGCCCTTATGTCGCGGTGGGGAGGAGGCGAGAATCGTATGTCTTGGCTGGCCTTGGGCTTTACCTGACATGATCTTGTTGTAGTTACCGGGCGCACCAAGGTGACTGCAATGATCGCAGTCTCTGTTTGCGAAAAGCGCGCGCTTTTCAGACACAGCGAAGTAACAACCGAGACGCTTATTCGCATGTATAGGGGAGACCCACGCCGAGGGAGGCGCTGCAGAGCCTGGCCCTGTCGGTTAAGAAGAAAGTGAAGGAAACACTTGATAATGTTCTGTAAAGGGCTTCACCCTATAGTTCAGGATGATAGCGCAGAGTTTTTCAAAGCACTGGGGTTTAAGGACAGGGAGGGCGAAATAGACTTTAACCGGGTAGACTTAACTACAAGGAGGTTATCTGATTGGTGGCTAAAGTCAAGGCACGACTGAAAATAAACCCTTCACTGCAAAGTACGAATCCTCAACCTCACTATATAAAGTAAACAAAAAGATAAATCTTATGGTTAGTTCACTAAGTATTACGGCTAGGTGGTGTTAGCCGCCGCCCGATCTAAAGGGTACAGCCACATCCATCCATCCATCCTGTCAGTCAATGTGGAGTGAAAACTGGTTACTCGAGTTATAGTGAACTAGATAGGGTACTCGAGTGTTGACTCCTCTGCTGTCCCCATGGTGGCTGTCCGCTTCAACCTGCCTTGAAAACGCGTTGCTTTGCTCACACGCTGCACGTGTTTTTGAGAGTCTCGCGTCGCGCGCGGTTCATGCGTGAGAAACGTGGGGCACGTTTCGATCTGCTTTCCATTCTGCGTGTGACCTTCCAATTTGTTGCTATCGCGTTCATCGCTTCGCCTTTGCAGCAAAGCTGTGACTTTTTTGTTTTTTGCAGTCATTCAAATGAGAACCTGTGAGCTTCTTCTAGGAAGGCTAGACCGACAATACAACTCTTGTTACAAACTTCAATGTCACGGGGTCGTGACGTGGCCGAAGACAGGAGACTATGTTGGGCTTTAACTGTTTATTTGGGCGAACCTGTGCCCGGTAAACGGAAAGTTCGATTACAGTAGCAGTCTTGCACAGATAGCGTTTAAGAGAATTTTATTTCCGGATATATCTTGCACAGCTATTGTGCACACATAAAAATGGACAATGGTGAACAATGCGTATGTACAATGCAAGCTGTTATATACAGCGAAAGAACTTATAGCGTATGCAGTGACGTACAGTGCAAAAATTGTGCAACAAAGACAGGACATTCATGACATCGAGATGATTAAACTTAAATGAACAGTAAGGCTATATGAACAAACAAGGTGAGGTCATTCACAGTGTAGCGTGATATTTTGCATTCACCTGTGAGGACAATTCGCTCTCGCGCTCAAGAACAATATTGCACAAAAATACATGTTTCTAAAGAAGAAAAGAAAAATACACACTGCAATGTCACAGTGGTACAAGCTGTAGCCCACCTCCTCAATAAGGGAGGAAAGGCATGGACACTCTGTTGTTGTTTACGATAATAAATCGCGTAGGCCACCGTCGGAGGAAAGCCTCCTCTCCCAGCATGACTAGTTCTGCGTTAAGATGCATAAGCATTATGTTTCTTAGCCGATGTAGTAGTGGAAACATGGCTCTCTGGGGGCGTCCCCTCAGGCAGGCCAGTCCCCTTCGTTTCCATAAGACGAAGGCTCCGATAGCCATTAAGAGTACGACAAAGTTATCCCTGTGGCTAGACTTCCACTGCATACTTGTTTGGAACATCCTGGTAACCATGCGCCAAAAGGTGCGCGCTACTATACATTCATGGAAGACATGGTTCAGTGTTTCAACGCGACCGCATTGCAGGCATGTGGCGGAGGGCGCCACGCCCCACGCCGCAAGGCGGTCGGCCGTTGGTAAAGCCCCCCATTCCCTGAGCCAGTTTAGGTCACGGACCTCGGAGGGGAGAGACGTGTTTGTAAGAGTCCAGCGTCTTTTCGCCCGGCATTTCCGGCGTTGTTCTTCAGATAGGCTTTTAAATGCTATTAATTCGCTCATGTCGGTGGGGGACATTTTCATAAGTTCTTGAACAGGAAAATCGTTTCGCCATTGTTGCAAAGATTTTATAACATGTATGTAATACGCTGGTGGCTGCTCAGCAGCTGGTCCCGTGTCGTTTGCTAAACCAAAAAGTCTTCTAGAGGTTCCCAGCAGATACACTACAAGTTGCCTGCCTCGATACGATGAGTTCTCCAAGAGTGCCCAGGTGTTTTTGAGAGCCAACATGCGGCACATTACATCAAGGTTGGGTACACTGAGCCCTCCCCATTTTGCTGGTAGGCGGACCAAGGCTCTGGCAACAGCTTCGGCGTGGCCATCCCAAAAAAAAAAAGGAGCCGCACGCAGTAGCCACTCTCAGCAAAACCCGTCGAGGTGGCCGTGCAGTTCTGGCTACATAAAGCAGTGGCGCTGTTATGCTGGATTTAATTAGATAAGCTCTTTCAGTGAAAGGTAGTTGAAACGTTCTGGCGACTTCAATGCGTCTGTCCACTTTGTGTTGGATTTCTTTCCATGTGGTGCGGGCTACCTCACCAGTCGAAAGGAAAGTTACACCTAAGACTTTAACGCCTTGGACGATTTGGACACCATCAGGGAACTCTTCAATGTGCATCCCAAAGCACAATGCCTTGCTTTTTCCGGGATTAAGACGTGCTCCCGACAGGTAACTATACGTGTGGAATATTCGCAGAAAGGCTCTGTAGCTATCTATGTTCCGAATAAACAACGAGATGTCATCAGGGTATGCCACTACTTTCACTTCGCCGAAGCCTGGAAGAGGGAAACCACGTATCGAAGTACATTTCTGGATTTGTTTCAATAATGGATCTATGCATAATACAAAGAGAATTGCAGAGAGGGGACAGCCTTGTCGAATGCCCCTACTTACTGCAATAGGTTCAGATGTATAGCCATTCACTACTAATGACGTTTCTAAGTCTGTGTAGAGTAAACGGAGGGTGTCGGTCAAATGTGCTGGGAAGCCACAACACTCAAGCACAGCGAAGAGATAGTTCATTCTACGCGATCAAAAGCATGCAAGGAAACGAAAACGCCAGATATTTGTGTTCTTGTAGCGTACGTGAATAAATCGCGAGTCAGCGCA